TGCTTGGCCTGCTGTGTTCATCCAGCCCTGCACCTTGTTGTCTCGGAGTTTAACATGAATTCAGAATGGGAGAGAAGCAAAGATTGAGAGAAACTGTATCCTGTAGAGCTGAACAAGATTCCATACTTGATAGTAACCCTTTGATGAACCATATTCCTTCTTCTTGAACGTTATCAGCTTGCTCCCACGCTGCTCAATTAGTTCATTGCATTCTGAACACATTTATAGTTGATGTGAATATCAACAGTCACAGCACTTCATTTTGACTGGATGCCATTCCTTGCAGTGAGTTGGAGATTTGAGGTCAGTAGAAATGTTAGCATAATGCCCTGAGCTTTAAGAATAGATTATACAACTTTGATACATTACAGTAGACGAGGTTTGAAAACTTCTCTCATTCCCTCACCAGCAGTATTGGAGCTCTTCGACAAGGCTTTTGACAAGGTTCGCATGGTAGACTGGTTAGTAAAATTAGTTCACATAGAATCCAGGAGGAGCTAGCCAACTGGATTCAAAATTGGTTTGAAGGTAGGAGACAGAGGGTGATGATAGAAAGTTCTTGTTCAGACTGGATGCTTGTGACCAGCAGTGTTCCGCAAGGATCGGTGCTGTTGTTCGTCATTTATATAAATGATTTGGATGAGAATATAGGAAGCATGGTTGGTAAGTTTGCAGATGACACCAAAATTGGTGGTATAGCAGACAGGGAAGAAGATTATCTAAGTGTACAACATGATATTGATCAACTGGGCCAGTGGGTCAAGGAATGGCAGGTGGAGTTTAATTCAGATAAATACGGGGTATTGCATTTCGGTAAGACATACAGGGCAGGGCTTAGACAGTTAATGGGAGGGCCCTAAGGAGTGTTGTTGAACGAAGAGACCTAAGGGTGCAGGTATATAGTTCCTTGAAAGTGGCATCACTGGTAGACAGGGTGGTGAAGAAGGTGTTGGCATGCTTGCCCTCATCAGTCAGGACACTGGGTACAGGAGTTGGGATATCATTTTACAGCTGTATAAGACATTGGTAAGGCCTCATTTGGAGTACTGCAAACAATTCTGGTCACCCTTCAATAGGAAGGATGTTATATTAAACTGGAAAGAGTACAAACAAAATTGCAATGATGCTACCGAGACTGGAGAGTTTGAATAATGAGAGGCCGGATAGGCTGGGGCATTTTCCCTGAAGCATAGCAGGCTGTGGGGTGACCTTATAGAGGTTTATAAAATCATGTGGGGAAAAGATAAGGTGAATAGCAAAGGTCTTTTCCCTACGGTGGGGGAATTTAAAACTAGAGGGCGTAGGTTTAAAAGGTGAGAGGGGAAAGATTTAAAAGGAACCTGAGGGGTAACGTTTTCACACAGACAGTGGTGCATGTATGGAACAAGCTGCCAGAGGAAGTGGTGGAGGTTGGTACAACTACAACAGTTAAAAGACATTTGGACAGGTACGATTGGAAAGATTTGGAGGGACATGGGCCAAACACAAGCCGATAGGACTATTTAAGTTTAGGAAACCACGTCGGCATGGACGAGTTGGGCTGAAGAGTCTGCTTTCATGTTGTATGACTCTATGACTCTCTAGACTTTTCCAAAAAATATTTATATTTGTTTTTCTACACAGAGACATTTGTCCTTGCTTTTTAAATCCAAGAGAAAATTCTCCTGAGTTACATGAGATGATAAGAGTTAACAGAGACTATCAGGTATGTGCACGCCTTTGGTAATGTTTAAATTAGTAGCATAAGCTGCTTATTTAATGTTTTCTTTATCAATCTTTGTAGACTTGCAATGTGGATGTTGATATATTTGCTGCTAAGTAATCCACTGATCTTTGATTTGAACTATTTTTTGAAACGTAAAGTGTTTAATTAGAATTTTGTGTATTTCTTCACCAGTTCTAGAATCTCCAAAGGACACATAATGCTTTGACAGTAAAATGCTCACACTGTCTGTTCCAAATATCAACTACTATAGCTAGAAAGACATCACTCTCAATTTCTGACTTGGGAACTCTGATTGTATCAGGACATCACAGGGACAGATGGGGCAAAATAGCTTATTTCTATGTTAAAAATTAAAAAGGGAGGTTAGCATTCAGCTGATTCAACTACAGTTATTGCCTCTGGGAAATAATGAGGTGGTGTCTGGATTGAAGTTGGAAATATCCTCAGTCTAATATTCTTTCAATTATTTTTACTCAAGTGATAATAGAAGGGCCGCATCAATTATTCCTTTGCCAAATAATGTGAACTACCATTTATTTTCTTTATTCAGAGCAAACTGACTGCATTAATTTATAGTGGAAAATATGACACGAATGAGGAGTTCACCGTTGTGTTGCAGCCCTATTTTACAAACGCAATTGTTCCATTAAACAGTGTAAGTTTAATTTTTTTTGGTTTTATTTTAGTACTTTGGCCTGGAGGTGTGAATTTTGACAAAAGTCATAGATCACTGTGCCAGTCTGGGTGCAGGTTTTACATTATGCTCAAGTTCCTGCGTAAAGCATACCTACATTGCAACAGGGTCTACTCTTCGAAAGCATTTCGTCGGCTGTAATGGATTTTGGGGCATCTTAAGGTCATTACAGACTCCACTGAAGTGCAAATCCTTTCCTTTTCTTTCATGGCCAACTGCATTGCTTCATTCCAACTCTTTGTGGCGCAGTTGGTCAGTGTGTGTGGCTGATAACCAGAAGGTTGGCAGTTTGAGATTACCCAGGGCAAAGGTTATGGTGACATAACCCCATCAGTTTTTATGGGCTTACATGGTGGTGTACATACCTCTGAGCCAAGAGGCCTGGGTTCAAGTCCCTCGTACACCAGAGGTGTGCAATAACTTTTCATAACAGGTTAATTAGAAAATATCAGAACAATCCCAGGAAGTCATTGTTCATGGAATTAATTATTTAGTATCATATGCTTCTACTCACTTTGCAAAAGAGCTGCTGGTACAATATGGGATGTGACCGACAGCAGCTTGTTTTTTCAACCATTTCGCCTACAATGACCTGGAGACAGCAAATTGGTAGATGTATATTTCTCAGCAGTTTTTAAATAGATTGATCCAGGACTGCCTGACAGTGTTCAGGAGATCAGTAGATGGGACCCCTAAAATCTACAACCCTTTCATACCTTTTATAAATTCTTCAACAGTGACCAAAAAGATCAGAATTTACACCAGGACATAGATATGCCTGATTCCGTCCTTAGAAATTATTCCTGTTCAACTTTAGGCAAAAGAGAGAACAGGGCAGAGGTTGTGGCTCCAAATGTTCTCTCCTTCATAAAGGAGAACGATCTCTGTATTTCTGATGAAGTAACAAAAAGGGACGAGTGGTGCGTCGATATGGGTATGAATCTTTTTTATGCTACTGTTTAGTTCCATTTTAAAAATAATTAAGAACTCTGCTAACCAACATAAACTAAAACCAGAAATGGGTTGGAATATTCTTTAATGTTTGACATTCCATCACTAGCAAGGTGGTATATTATGCTCTGGACTACAGTCATGCTATCTGAAACCTAATCAGTAAGTCTCTTACCGTTAGCAACTGTTTCTGTTGCTGGTGAACTAATGTTAGTGTTCTTGACAGTTGCTTGTGAAGTTGGAAAAAACCGTATAAATTATCTGCTATTTATACTTTGTTATAGAACCTAGCCAGTACAGCACAGGAACAGGCCCTTCAGCCCACGATGATGCTTCTGCCGACCATGATGCTATTCTAAAGTAATCCCATCCACCTGAACTTGATCTGTATCCCTCTACTCCCTGCCTGTTCATCTGTCTGTCCAAATGCCTCTTAGCCTGAATAGCCAAGTTCTTTTTTTCTAGGGTGGGGGAGTCCCAAACTAGAGGGCATAGGTTTAAGGTGAGAGGGGAATGACTTAAAAACATGAGGGGTAACTTCTTCACACAGAGGGTGGTGCATGAGATGGAACAAGCTGCCTGAGGAAGTGGTAGAGGTGGGTATAATTACAACATTTAAAAGGCACCTGGATGGGTATATGAATAGGAAGGGTTTAGAGGGATATGGGGCAAATGCTGGCAAATGGGACTAGATCACACTGGGATGTCTGATCAGTGCAGGCAAGTTGGATCAAAGGCTCTGTTTCTGTGCTGTATGACGCTATGATTCTATCACTCTTAAACATTGCTAGTGCATTCCAGACACTTACCACCCTCTGTGTAAAAATGTAAACTTTACCTCCTCACACCTTAAGCTTATGCCTGTTAGTATATGGCGAGAGTGGGAGGCGGATATAAGATGCATCTTCTATCCGCCTCCCACTCTCTCCCTATTTAGTTCAGAACCCCCTTCCCCTCCCCTGTTTCTGATGAAGGGTCTAGGCCCGAAACATCAGCCTTTCTGCTCCTATGATGCTGCTTGGCCTGCTGTGTTCATCCAGCCCTGCACCTTGTTGTCTCGGATTCTCCAGCATCTGCAGTTCCTACTATCTCTGATTCAATTTTAACCCCACTGCGAAGCATCTTCTAAGGATGTGTAGCCTGAAGAAGTTACCCTCCTCCCTCCGAACAAACCTCAGGGGATCTCTCTCCCACTGCAACTCTCTCGTAATCTCTTCGGCCCTGAAACTGCTCGACCATGTCCTGAAGCAAACCAGGTACTACAGCCACATCACCTTTCTTAGCACCTGCCTACGGAACCAGATCATCCCCAATGGACTACAATCCACATTCAAGCCTTCCCACCTCCCACTCTCTCCCTATTTATTTCAGAACCCTCTTCCCCTCCCCCATTTCTGATGAAGGGTCTTGGCCCGAAGCGTCAGCCTTTCTGCTCCTATGATGCTGCTTGGCCTGCTGTGTTCATCCAGCCCTGCACCTTGGTGCAACATGACTTGCCAACTTTTAAACTCAATGCCTCTACAGATGAAGGCAAGCATGCCATATGCCTTCTTTACCACTTTTTTCACTGTGTTGCTACTTTCAGGGAGCTGTGGACTTGGACCCCAAGATCCCTCTGTATGTCAATGCTCCTAAGGATCTGTCCATTTACAGTATACTGCTTTACTGTTCCATTTGACCTCCTAAAATGCATTATCTCACTCTCTTCTGGGTTAAACTCCATCTGCCATTTCTCCGCCCAACTTTCCAGCTGATCTATATCCTGCTGCATCCTTTAATATCCTTCCTCACCATCCACAACTCTACGAGTCTGCGTGGCATCTGCAAATTTACTAATCAGACTACCTACATTTTCATCCAAATCATTTATATATATTACAAACAGCAGAGATGCAAGCAATGATCCTTGGTCACACTGGTCACAGATCTCCAGTTAGAAAAACATCCCTCCACAACTATCTTCTGTCCTCTATGGCGGAGCTAATTTTGTGTCCAACTTGCCAATTCACTGTGGATTCCAAGCGATTTGGTCTCCAGGACCAGCCTACCATGAGGCACCTTGTCAAATGCTTTAGTAATGTCTATTTAGACAACATCCACTGCCTTACCTTCATCAATCATCATTGTCATTTCCTTGAAAAACTTAATCAAGTTTGTGCAACAAAACCACCCTGCATAAAGCCATGCTGACTATCCATAATAAGTTCATTCTTCTCTAAGGACAAGTAAATCCCACCTAACAATCTTCTCTAAGAGTTTCCCTAGCGGGGAGGGGATGGCCTAGTGGTATTATTGCTAGACTGTTAATCCAAAGACCCAGGTTCCAATCCCACCATGGCATGTGGTGGAATTTGAATCCAATAAATATCTGGAATTAAGAGCCTAATGATGACCATGAATCCATTGCCAATTGTCAGAAAAACCAACCTGGTTCACTAATGCCCTTTAGGGGAGGAAACTGCCATCCTTACCTGGTCTGGCCTACATACGACTCCAGACCCACAGCAATGTGGTTGACTCTCAACTGTCCTCTGGGCAATTAGGGATGGGCAATAAATGCTGCCTAGCCAGCAACGCCCTCATCCTGTGAATGAATAAAAAAAAGTATGGCCATCCAGCCTATAATTTCCTGCATTATCCCTGTTGCCCTTCTTGGACTTCACCTGTGGCTAAAGATGATACAAAGATCTCTGTTAAGGCCCATCATGCCCTGGGAGCTTATCTACGTTAATGTTTTTCAAGACAACCAATACCACCTCCTTCTTAATATTGACATGCCCCAGCGTATCAACAAACCTCTCTCTAAATTTACCATCATCCGGTACTTTCTCCTTGATGAATACCAATGAAAAGTACTCATTAAGGACGTCACCCACTTTCTTGGCTCCACATATAAATTCCCTCCTTTGTCCTTGAGTGGACGCACACTTTCCCAAGTACCCTCTTGCTCCTAATATATGTATAAAATACCATGAGATTATCCTTAATCCTATTTGCCTAGGACAGTTCATGGCCCCTCCCAGACCTCCTAATTTCTTTTCAACTTCTTTTCTTCTTCCTTTATACACCTCAAAGGCCTTGTTTGATTTCAGTTTCTGAAACCTTATATATACTTCCTTTATCTTTTTGACTAACCTGTTAATACCTCTTGTCATCCAAACTTTCTGAACCTTAGAATCCTTATCTTTCCTCCTCACAGGAACATACTGATCCTGAACTCTGGTCAACTGGCTTTTAGAATACTCCAACACATTAGATGCAGAATTACCTTCAAACAGCCACCCCGATCCAATTTTACCAGTTTCTACCTAAATACTGTTGTAATTAGTCTTCCGCCAGTTTTGCACTTTCACCTGAGAATCAGTGTTATCCATTCCCGTCACTATCTTAAAATTTACGGAATTTTGATCACTGATCCCAAAACGCTCGCTTACTGAAACTTCGATCACCTGGCCAAGCTCATGCCCCAATATGTGGTCTATTCAGGATAGTTGGACTATCTATATATTGTTCGAAGAAGCCCTCCCAATTGCATCGAACAAATTCTATCCCCATCTAAGCCCTTTGCACTAATGGAGTCTCAGTGAAAACTAGAGAAATTAAAATCACCGACTACAACAATGCTGTCGTTCTTACATCTTTCCATGATCTGCTTACATATCTGTTACTCTCTTTCCCGCTGGCTATTGGCAAGCTTACAGTATAACCCCATCATAGTGATTGCATCTTTCTTATTTCTAAGTTCTACCCACAAGGCTTTGCTGAATGAGACCTAGACGTCTCTCTCAGTACAACTGTAACATTTTCCTTAATCAGTAACTTCCCCATCCCATTGACATCCCTCTCTATAACACAGAAGCATCTAAACCCAAAACATTATGCTGACAGTCCCACCCTTCTCTCAACCAAAGTTCTGTAATGGCTACCACTTTGTAGTTCTATGTACCAATCCAGGCTCTCGGCTCATCTGCCTTACCTGTTACTCATTTCATTAAAATAAATACTTTTCAGACCGCTCATACTGCAGTGTTCATTAACTTGGTCCTGCCTGTTTTTCTATTAAACTTACCTGACTCAGCCCCTTTCTTCTCTTCAAACACTCCACGTGTTGACCTACCGCTCTGGTGCCCACCTCCTCGCCAATGAGATACATCATATATTTTTAGTTCAGCAGAAAACTACTTTGTTTTGAACAATGTCCTCTGTTTTTCCAGACTGGCCAGCCAGACATGAGCTTCTTTTCGGTCGATTGCTTCCATTTAAGTGAACGAGGACAAGCCGAGATGGCCATTGGCTTGTGGAACAATATGGTACTGCTTTCTTCTTAACAATCTCATTAAGCCAGTTATTCAGTGGTGGCGACTTGAACTTTGTTCCAGTATCTGATTCAGTCTATCAAAAATGACCACAATTTTCACTGCTTCTTGGTCACCTACTGCTGACTGAGATGTCACCAATGAAAATGAAAGCCCAGCATTTTTTCCAGAAGTGCATGTAAAAATAGAGATTCAATTTCTCTCCCTTTCAGGCAGCAAAAATGGTTATGCATGGACTAAGATGCCAAAAATTGTTGTCAGAGCAACCTAAAGCTCATTAGTGTACACTTCAAGAGGGATAGAGTAGAAAAGCAGACAAGTTCTGTCAAACTAAATAATGTTAGACACTTGAGAACTGGAGAAAGCCACTCAGTTCCAGGCAGTTGGGGATTGCCACCAAAGGATCAGTTAGCTCAGTCAGCTGGGCATCTGGTCTGCGATGCAGAATGATGCCAACACTGAGGGTTCAATTCCTGCACTGGCTGAGGTTATCATGAAGGCCCTTCCTTCTCAATGTCTCTCCTTGAGGTGACCCTCGGGTGAAACCACCACCAGTTGTGAGAGACTAGAACTATGGCAACAAATGTTGACCTTGCTAATGATGCCCACATCCCATGAAAGTACAAATGAACTGGCCTTGTTTCCATATTATTAAAGCACTGGAAAGGGTGCAAGCAATTTGCTAGAATGCTACCAGAACTGAGGGGCCATACATATAAGGAAAGATTGAGCAGACTGACCCTCTTTTGCCTAGATAAGGGAAGACTGAGGGGTGACCTGATAGAAGTCTTCAATTTTATGAATGTGCTTGGTAACACGTGTTTCTACTTGTAGGAGAGACCAGAATTAGGAGCCATTATTTAATATTAGCACTAATATAAACAATAGGAGATTTAGAAGTAACATCTTAATCTAACTACTGGTTAGAATATGGGCTCCCTGTCGCATGGAGTAGTTGAGTTGAGTATAGACACATTTTAAATATAAACACATCAGGTAGGAAGGAATAGCATACATTGTTAGGGTTACATAAAAAGAGGTTGACGAAGGCTCGTGTGAAGCATAAACAGTTGCACAGACCAGTTGGCCTGAATGCCCTTTTCCTTTGCTGTAAAATTTTGTAATATTTTTAATTCGGTAATTTTGATACTTCAGTTTGGACATGGCATGACCAACGGAAAAATATATTTTGAGTGAGGAGATTTTTCCCATCATTTATAAAGAGGAAGAAAATAAACTTTGAGGCTAATCTAGTAATTAATGATATAAAAGCTTCTTTATGTATAAAAGAAAGAAAATGAGAAGCCAAAATGAACAATGGCTCCTTAGAGAATGAGGCTGGAAAATGGCAGAGGAGTTGAATACTTTGCATCAGTCTTCACAGTAGAGGACGTTAATAACATTCCAAAAATATTAAATAAACAAGGAGCAAAATGGGGAGATGAACTAAATGCAATAACTATCACTAGAGAAAATGTATCAGGGGAAACTAATTGGGCTAAAGGCTGATAGTCCCCTGAATGTGATGGGATATATCCTAGGATAGTAAAAGAAGTAGCTACAGAGACAGTGGATGCACTGGTAGTAACTTCCCAAGAATCTTTACATTCTGGAAAAGTCCCAGAAGATCAAAAAACTATTAATGTAACACACTTAGCCAAAAAAGGAAGGAGACAGTCAGTATCTGTCATTGGGAAAACATTGCAGGCCACTATACTGGATGTAATAACAGAGCATTTAAAAAGACATAATAAGATTAAACAGAGTTGGCATGAAGCGGAAATCACACCTGACAAATTTACTAGAATTCTTTGAGGAGGTAACAAGTAGAATAGATAGAGGAAAAACAGTGGATGTAATATATTTGGATTTTCAGAAGGGGCCACACTTTAGTCTACTTATTGAGATAAGAGACCCTGGTGTTAGAGGTACTATATTAGCATGGATAGAGCATTGGCTAACTAATAAAAGATGGAGAGTTGGGGTAAGGGGGACATTTTCAGGATGGTAATCTGTAACTCATGGAGTACCACAGGAATCAATGCTGGTGTCACAATTATTTATACTATATATCAATGACTTGGATGAGGAAAGTGATTGTATTAACCCCAAGTTTGCAGATGACACAAAATGGTGGGAAGGTAAGTGATGACGATCACGCAGAGACTACAGAGGGATATAGACGGGTTAAGGGAGTGGACAAAACCTTTACAAATGGAAAATACCGTGGAGAAATGTCTGGTTTTGCACTTTGGCAGGAAGAATAGAGGAGCTGAATATTATTTAATTGGAGAAAGAATGCAGAGAGCTACCACACAGAAGGGTTTGGGAGTCCTTGTGCATAACTCACAAAAAGCCAGCGTCCAGGTTCAGTACATAATTGAGAAGGAAAATGGAATGTTAGTTTTCATTTCAAAGGGAATTGAGTATAAAAATATATAAAGCAAATCTGCTAGTACTGTACAAGGCATTAGTCAAACCATAGCTGGAATACTGTGAGCAGTTTTGGGCCACTTATCTAAGGAAAGATATTCTGATGTTGGAGGCAGAGAAGGTTCACTAGACTGATGCCACATACAGAGGGACTGTCTTATGAGGAGACGTTGAGTAGGTTGGGCCTGTACTCATTAGAATTGAGTAGAATGAGAGGTGACCTCATTCAAACACACAAGATTCTTAGAGGATTGATAGAGCAGATACAGAAAGGATTTTTTCCCCCTTGTGGGATAGTCTAGGAGAAGAGGGCATCATCTCAGAATAAGGTTAAAGACAAAAAAAACTGCAGATGCTGGAATCCAAGGTAGACAAACAGGAGGATGGAAAAACACAGCAAGCCAGGCAGCCTGTTTGTCTATCTCAGAATAAGGGACTGCATGTTTAAACCAGAGATGAGGAGGAATTTGTTCTCTGAGGGTAATGAGTCTGTGGAATTCTTTACTGCAGATGGCTGTTGAGGCTGAGTTACTAATTACAGTCATGGTTGAGATAAACATACTTATAATCAGTAAGGCAATCAAGGATTATGGGAAAAGGCAGGAAAATGACGTTGAGGATTTTTAGATCGGTCATCATCTCTTTGAATAGCAGAACAGACTCAATAGGCTGAATGGCCTATTTCTACTTCTATGATCTTATGATTATACCATCTAGAAAGGTTATTTAGAGTAAAATTATATTTTTCAAGAAAATAATTATGAGCTATATTTTCATGTTCCACTAATGGAGCCCTCAGGCTATTAATTTTCTTAGATTTTACAAGCGTCAGCAAATGGACTATGCTGGCTGTTTTCGGGGGTGGGGGCGGTGGGGGAACACTTGTTTACCTGGTAATAAACATAAACCTATGCTGATGCTTTTTTTTCACAATGGAGTTGTCAATGACCTGAAACCGGCATTCTGTGGCTACAAAAGCAGGTCAGAGGGTAGGGTTTCTGCAGTGAATAACTCATGACCTGTTTCCGCAAAGCCTGCCCACCATCTAGATGACACTTGAAAGTAGTGTGATAGAATACTTTTCATTTGCCTGAATGAATGCAGCTCCAACAACACTCAAGAAGCTTAACACTAATCAATGTGTACCATCAACAGAAAGCAGAAATTCACCAATGGTGCTGCAACAGCTCCTTCTAAACCCACAATCTCTACCACTTTGGGCAAGCTCAGTGGTTAGCACTGCTACCTCTCAGCATGAGGGACCCAGATTCAATTCCAGCCTTGGGCGACTGTCTGTGTGGAGTTTGCACATTCTCCCTGTGTCTGCATGAGTTTCCTCTAAGTGCTCCGGTTTCGTCCCACAGTCCAAAGACATGCAGGCTAGATGGATTAGGCATGGGAAATGCAGGGTTACGGGAATAGGGTAGGGTTTAGGTCTGGTTGGGATGCTCCGGAGAGGTTGTTGTGGACTTGATGGGCCGACTGGCCTGCTTCAACACTGTAGGGTTCTATGGTGAGGACAAGGGCAGTGGTTGTCACCAGCACTTGCACGATCCCCTCCAAGCCATGCACCATCCTGTACTTGGAACTATATCACAAATCCTTCAATTTAACAACGTCAAAATCCTGTAACTTCCTCCTGACAACACTATGGGTCTCCCTACACCCCCGAGGGATGCACTACTTCAAATAGACAGCTCAATTTCTCCAGCACAGTTAAGGATGGCCAATAAATGTTGGCCCACAGCCAGTGATGCTAACATCCCATTAATGTATTTTTAAAAAAACCTACACACCAGTCTCTCTCCTCATTCTCAGTCAGACACACACGTTTTTATTTATTGAATTTTTTATTCCATTTCCTGCAGCTGGAACGAACTGGATACAAGCAAAATTACATCAATTTTACCTATGACCGAACCAAATTGAAGTGTCCTAACTCTGTAAGTAAAGAAGTTTTATATAGTGTCTTAAACTGTTGGAAACCACTTCCTCCTTGTGTCATAACAGTTCACAACTGCCAGTAGTTCACAGAAAAGACTGCTTTTACCCACGTTTTAGGTATGGCTTAGAAGCCAAGGGTGTGGGAAGGAGTATAAAATGGTGAGGAGGGGTTGTAAAATAATGGGAGAAAGGTGGAGGTGGAATGCCAATTGCTCCCTTGACATCAAGACTATTTAAGAATCGTTGGCAAGGCGGATGCTAGTCCTCCAACCCAAAAGCCAATGGAGCCAATTAAGTGGCCAGTTAGTGGCCTCTTCCACCTGTCATTGAAGTTTTACCTCTGCCATCTGGGAAGAATGCCAAAGGAAACCTGGCAGCTCACTTTGGCATGGGGAAAGCACGTTAGATCTACAGCACTCTGTGATCTACAGCAGATCCCCTGGCAGTAATGGCCATCCCTGTGGGAATGACACCACCCCTCATCAAAGCCTTTTTGCCTGTGACTCTCATGACTTCTGACCCCATTTAGCTTGATGGGAGGGCTACATCCTTCAGTGGCAGCCACCTCTTCCAGGTGTAGTCCCATCATTTGTCACCACTTCCAGTGGCGCTGCTGAGCTATTGGTTCTCTAAAGGGTGACAGATCTTGAGGGAGGGCTCTCATGCATCTCCACTGATTAGTTTGCTGAATGAGTGGAGAACACAGCTGGTGTCCGAAAGGTGGCCAAGGCTTTGTTATCCCTGGCTTCCAACTCTATCCAGTTAAACCAAATCACTTTAATAAGAGTGGTGTGGCCATAATACAGAATAGTTATGACAAAAAAAACAAGCAATTTTCGCTCAAATAGTCCGTTGTTAATTTTGAACCTTCGTCCGAGCAATCCTGCTCTCTGTTCTAAATCCCTTACATTTTAATCTTATTTTTGTGGCCCTTCATTCTGGATCCCTGATCTGTATGAAAGCTTCTAGGAACCTGCCGTACACTTTCATAACTTTAAATGCACTTATTGCGTTGCTGCATACTCTGTGTCATTCTAATGAAAAAATCCATAAAACATTGATTTTATTCTAAAGCAGCATTGAAAATTTTAGCATGAGTATGTTTTCCTGAAAGATTGGCATATCCTTTGAAAACACCATAATTCGTAATTGTAATAGTCATTGTAAAACATTTCAACTGTTCACAAAGCGCTGAGTGTTTGATATAGAAACTCTGATTCCAATACAAATAGTTCTTATGCAATTACAGTCAAACAGTCATGGAATGATACAGCATGGAAACAGGCCCTTCAGCCCAACTTGCTTATCCCGACCAGGTTTCCAAAACTGAACTAGCCCTATTTGCCTGCATTTGGCCCATATCCCGCTAAACCCTTCCTATTCATGTACTTTCCAAACGTCTTTTAAAATTGTCATTGTACCCATCTCTACCACTTCCTCTAGCAACTCATTCCATCTACGCATCACCCTCTGTGTGAAAAAAGTTGCCCCTCAGGTCCCTTTAAATCTTTCTCTTCTCACCTTCAACCTATGCCCTCTGATTTGGATTCACCTAACCTGGGGAATAAACCTCATCTATTCAACCTATCTATATCCCTCATGATTTTATAAACCTCTAAAAAGTCACCCTTCAGCATCCTAAGCTCCAAGGAAAAAAGTCCCAGCCTATCCAATCTCTCCTAATAACTCAAACCCTTCAGTCTCGGTAACATACTTGTAAATCTTTTTTGCACTCCTTCCAATTTAATAATATCCTTCCTACAGCAGGACAGTATTTCAAATGTGGCCTAACCAAAGTACAGCTGCAACATGACATCCCAATTCCTGTACCCAATGCTCTGACCAAAGAAGGCAAGCTTGCCAAATGCCTTCTTCACCATCCTCTTTACCAGTGATGTCACTTTCAAGGAACTATGTACCTGCACCCCTAGGTGTCTCTATTCGACAACACTCCCCAGGGCCCTACCATTAACTGTGTAAGTCCTGCCCTGGTTTGTCTTACCAAAATGTAACACCTCACATTTAAATTCCATCTGCCATTCCTTGGCCCATTGACCCAGTTGGTCAAGATCCCATTGTACACCTAGATAACCTTTTTTACTGTCCACCATACCATCAATTTTGGTGTCATCCACAGAATTACTGATCATGCCTCCTATATTCCCATCCAAGCCTTTTGTATAAATGACAAACAACAGTGGACCCAGCACCAGTCCTTGCAGCACACTGCTGGTCACAGGCCTCCAGTCTGAACAACAACCCTCTACCACCACCCTCTGTCTCCTACTGTCAAATAATTTTGTATCCAATTGGCTAGCTCTCCCTGGATCCCATGTGATCTAACCTTACTAACCAGTCTACCATGTGGACCTTGTTAAAGGCCTTGCTAAAATCCATGTAGACAATGGCTACTGCTCTGTCTTCATCTATTTTTTTGGTCACCTAAAGTCATTGCATTATATACATATCATGTATGTGAAGTGCATTACAATTTTTCTAAACTGACAAATCAAGATATTAAGTACGCAAATGTTTATTTGCATATTTGTTTTAATTTCACGCCTAGAATGTGTGCTCTATGTATAACAGAAGCTTTTAATCTGCAGTCACTTTAATCAGGAAATGGATTGTACAATATTACAAACATACGCAGCCGTAACTTAAATATAGATGCAAATGTCATTTAATCAAGTTATTAAAGTTTATTTTTATTTACACTTTTTCTAGGATGCACCTTATCTGTTCACACATAGAAACAGTGCAGTCAAACCAGAAAACCCATCGATAAAACCTACATCAATAGCAGTGACTACTACAGCTAAAGGAGGCCTCACAGCAGAGCAAAGAGTTTGGCTTGTTGTTCTAACAGCAGTGGTTGCAGTGATATTAGGGCAGCACCGGTCCTGGTCATTTTAAACCTGAAATCCTAGCATTTGGAGTGTATTAAAAACCAGAAATAAGTACAAATGGCATAATGCTACTGAGTTTTTTTTAATGTTCAATTGACCTTTTATGGGGAAAATATAAAAGCAGAATGACAATTTGAGATTACAGAAGGCTGTTTCATTTACCTATTCACAATAAAGGATATTCTGTTTCCTTGGGATATTTCTAAAAGCCCTGCATTCAATTTGTAGAAAATTACTCTCTATAGTTTGATTTTATACCATTTTCTATGCATTCCACCATTCTATCTAGTCATTTAGAAACCCAGGAGCATTGTGCTGATAGCTTCAGCGATCTGACAACTAAATTTCAACCAATTCGATTCACTCCCTGTGATGACAAGAAATGTCTGAACCCGCTGGATACTTGTTGGAAATTAGGGTCCGCTTTAAAACTGAAATTCTTTCAGTGTTTTGTATTTAGTATTTACTGTGCAGCCTGAATTTTACAGCAATAACTAGCCTTCTGCAAATATAAACAGATCTGTAGTATATAAAAATAGTAGGGATGTTTTAAGGATCACAGACGTCATGACTCATATCAAGTATTTATCAGGTGCTGCACTACCCTATTATTAATACAATCTTTTAAAAAACAGCAAGTTTTTGTTTTTAGAAGGAATGCAAACTAACCTTCAAGTGGAGATAACAAGGTGTAGAGCTGGATGAACACAGCAGGCCAAGCAGCATCAGAGGAACAGGAAGGCTGACGTTTCAGGGGTCTAGGCCCAAAATGTCAGCTTTCCTGCTCCTCTGATGCTGCTTGGCCTGCTGTGTTCATCCATCTCTACACCTTGTTATCTCAGATTCTCCAGCATCAGCAGTTCCTACTATCTCCTAACCTTCAAATGGAGTTGGGAAAGGGGACAACAATCAAGTTGACATTATGGGGAGCTGCTCATGGTTATTGTTGTATCAATCCACTGTGTAAACCCTTTCAGCCAGAGATTGCTGGCCCTAAAATTGAGATAGGTGGGGAGGGACAGCTATGAGAAGATCTGGGGGGTGGGTGCAAGCCTTCATCTAATTAGACAAAGACCAGGAATCCTCTACATCAGCCCAAGGAAAAAGCAGAGTTTTGCTCTGAAGACCACCAAAGACTACCACAAAAGACTGCAACGTATCTGAAATGTGGAAGTGTGCTGCTTTTACTCCTGCATTTTGTAGAACGGTTTTAAGATCAATAAAACATTCTCATCTGTCACGAGTTGTATATTTTGTTCCTTTGCTTAATTAACTGAAGTACTTTAAGGTTTTGGAGTAGATCTGTAGCTTGGATTGTGGGTGTTGAGGTTGGTTGGCTCGCCGAGCTGGTTTGTTGTTCCACAGATGTTTCGTTACTGTGCTTGGTAACATCCTCAGTGCAGCCTCTGATGAAGCATCGGTGTGTTTTCCCACCTGGTTTTTAAACTCTGGAGTCCGTTGCGATGGATTTCCTCACTTCCGGGTTTCCTCCGTAGTGGAATGTATGTGGGGTCGAGTTCAATGCGTTTATTAATAGTATGCCTCGTGGAGTTCCATGCTTCCAGAATTCTCATGCTTGTCTCTGCCTAACCTGTCCCAGGATCTTGGTGTTGTCCCAGTCGAAGCCGTGGTTCTCCTTGTCCATGTGGATTGAGATGAGTGAGTGTTGGTCGTGTCTTTTTGTAGCCAGTTGGTGTTCATGTACTTTTGTTGTTAGTTTCCTTCCTGTTTGTCCGATGTAGTGTTTCTTGCAGTCTCCGCAGGGGATCTTGTAGATGACATTGGTCCTGTCCATGGCGGGGAGTGGGTCTTTAGTTCGGGTGAGCACTTGTCGTAGGGTTGATGTGGGCTTGTGTGCCACTCTGATGCCCAGCGGTCGTAGAAGTCTTGTGGTGAGTTCTGACGTGTTCCTGATGTAGGGTAGTGTGATGAGTGTGTCGGGGCGTGTAGAATCTTTCTGATGCTGTTCCTGTAGGCATCTCCTGACCCAGTTCTTTGGATATCCATTATCCTTGAACACTTGGAAGAGGTATTCCTCCTCCTCTTGGCGTAGTTCCATGTTGCTGCAGTGTGTTGTTGCCCTTTTAAATAGTGTTCGCACGCAGCTTCATTTGTGTGTGCTGGGATGGTTACTATTGAAGTTCAATACCTGGTCTGTGTGTGTGGCTTTTTGGTGTACTTTCGTTTGCAGTAGAACACAAGACAAATGGGGAACTGCAAACGAAAGTACACCGAAAAGCCACACACACAGACCAGGTATTGAACTTGAATAGTAACCATCCCAGCACGCACAAACAAAGCTGCATGCGAACACTATTTAAAAGGGCAACAACACACTGCAGCAACATGGAACTAGGCCAAGAGGAAGAAGAATACCTCTTCCAAGTGTTCAAGGATAATGGATATCCAAAGAACTGGGTCAGGAGATGCCTACAGGAACAGCATCAGAAAGATTCTACACGCCCCGACACACTCATCACACTACCCTACATCAGGAACACGTCAGAACTCACCACAAGACTTCTACGACCGCTGGGCATCAGAGTGGCACACAAGCCCATATCAAACCTACGACAAGTGCTCACCCGAACTAAAGACCCACTCCCCGCCATGGACAGGACCAATGTCATCTACAAGATCCCCTGCAGAAAGCATGCTATTAATAAACACATTGAACTCGACCCCATATACATTCCACTATGGAGGAAACCCGGAAGTGAGGTAATCCATCGCAACGGACCCCAGAGTTTAAAAACCAGGCGGGAAAACAAACTGACGCTTCATCAGAGGCTGCACTGAGGATGTTACCAAGCACAGTAACGAAACATCTGCGGAACAACAAACCAGCTCGGCGAGCCAACCAACCTTAACTGAAGTACTATATCTAAACTTGCTTTTCCATAAGCAATGAGAATGTGGCAACAAATCGGCAACTGCCCATGTTGTGTTACTGTGATTACAAGCACCCCAAAATCAAAATAACACAAAAACTATAGGCCTTGACGACAATACAGCAATGGTGCTGAAGACCTGTGCTCCAGAACTGCTACTCCCCTAGCAAAGCTGTTCCAGTACAGTTATAATACTGGTATCTACCCAACAGTGTGGAAAATTGCCCAGGTATATCCTATACACTAAAAACTAGATAAATCTTTATGCAAACAAATACTGCCTCATCAGTCTCCTCTCAATCATCACTAAAGTGATGGAAGAGGCAATGAGCTGTGCCTTTAAAGAGCTATTGCAGAAATTGCTGACTGATGTATAGTTTGGGTTCTGCCTGGGACACTTGGCTTCTGATCTCATTGTCACCTTTCTCAAAACATGGGCAAAGGAACTAATCTCCAAAGGTGAGATGTGGTGAGACCCCTCAACATTGAGGCAGCAGTTGACTATATATGAGATTGAAGAGCAAGAGCAAGACTGGAGTCAATGGCAATCAGTGAAAACTCTCCACTGGTTGAAGTCATACCTGGTTGTGATGTTGAAAGTCAGTCAGCTCAGCTCCAGGACATCTCTGCAGGAGTTCCACAGGGTAGCGTCCTAGGCCCCAACCATTTCCAGCTTCTTCATCAATGACCTTCCATCAATCATAAGATCAGAAGTATCTGGATAGGTATATGAATAGGAAGGGTTTAGAGGGATATGGGCAAATGCTGGCAAATGGGACTAGATGGACGAGTTGGACTGAAGTGTCTATTTCTGTGGCTATGACTCTAAGTGGGATGTTTGCTCAATACTGCTCAATGTTCAGCACCATTCATGATTCCTCAGTTACTGAAGCAGTCTGCCCATATGCAGCAATATCTTGATAATATTTAGGCTTTTGCTGATAAGTGACAAGTAACATTTGTGTCACATATGTGCCGTGGAAAGGCTATCTCCAATAAGAGAGAATCTAACCATCATACTTGACATTCAACAGTATTAATGTCACTGAATCCCACACTACCAACATCCTGGACATTCCCATTGACCAACAATTGAATTGGAGCAGCAATGTAAATACTGTGTCTAAAAGCAGCAGGTCAGAACTTAGGAATTTTGCAGCAAGTAACTCACCTCCTGCCTTCTCAATTCATGTCCATTACCAATGCAGAGTAGCAACAGTTCCAAGTCAGGCTGTTGTGGGGCTTGGAGGGGAAAATGCAGGTGGTAATGGTGGTTCCCATTGCATCTACTGCCCGTGTCCTTGTAGGTGGTAGAAATTGTGGGTATGAAATGTGCTATTGGAGGAGCCTTGATGAATTATTGCAGTGTATCTTGTGGATGGTACACACTATTGACATAATGCATTGGCGGTGAAAGAAGTGATGGTAACACTTGGTGGATGGGGCACCAAGCAAGCCAGCTGCACAGTCCTGGATGGTATCAAATACTGTAAGCAGCATGCAATAGACAGGGCTAAATGATCACACAACGAATGGATCAGATCAAAGGAATGCAGTTCTGTGACATCCAGTCATGAATGGTGGTGGACAATTAAAACAACTAGAAGAGAGGCTCCATGAATATCCTCATTCACAATAAAGGAGGAGCCCAGCACAACAATGAAAAAGACAAGGCTGAAACATATTAGCTAGAAGCACCAAGCCATTTCTTCATCTTGGGCTCCTATGGTTGTCTCCAGCAGCACAGATGTCATTCTTCAGACAATTTCATTCATTCCGTGCAGTGTCAAGAAATGGTTAAAGGCACAACATACACCAAAGATCCTGACAAGATCCCAGTAATAGTACTAAGAATTTGTACTCCAGCACAGCTACAGCACTGATATCTACCCGACAATGTGGAAATAGAAAACCGAAAGAACTGTGGATGCTGGAAATAAGAAACAAAAACAGATATTGCTGGAAAAGCCCAGCAGGTCTGGCGGCATCTTAGGTTTAGATCTATTCTCACATGCATATAAAAATACAGTGATGAGTGTTTTCCCATGTGTTATGTGCAATGTGTCACCATGCTCTGGCGCCATCTTGAAACACTGAATATAAGACTTTACTGCAATAGATTTCATCTTTTGCTCTTCTTCTTGTTCGTCCTCCACTGGTCCTACAATCACTGCTTGACATCAGCCAGAGTCTCTGAAACGAGCTCCTGGGTCTCTGTAACAGGCTCTGGGGTCTCTGTAACAGGCATTGGGGTCTCTAACAGGATCCGGGGTCTCTCTGGGGTAATGGGCCTCCACCATTTCATGGCAGGTTTCATTCAGCATTCCCTGTCTTCTCGGCTCTGTGTTTCTGAATCCAGGGAACCCATACATCGGCTCAGTCATTCCCACACTATTCCTCTGAAGGGCATCCTCAGCTAACAACACAATGCAGCTGTGTTAGCCCAACCACAGAGCAGGCACTGAGCATGCTCCGGCTCACAATGGGACCTGGCATCTGTGGAGAGAAATCAGAGTTAACATTTCGGGTCCAGTGACCCTTCTTCAGAACTGATACCTAATAACTCATAACTGATTCCTAGCTACCATCAGTTCTGAAGAAAGGTCACTTCTGATTCCTAGCTACCATCAGTTCTGAAGAAAGGTCACTTCCTAGCTTTCATCAGTTCTGAAGAAGGGTCACTGGATGCAGAAATGTTAACTCTGATTTCTCTTCCCCAGCGTGAAAAATAGCCCAGGTATGTACTGTCTAAAAAGAACAGGGATAATCTAATGTGAC